TTTTTGTTTGTTTGTTTGTTTGTTTGTTTGTTTTTAAAGTATATATGAAGAAATATAGCAAAACATTATTATATTGGGGTGTTATTGTTATGTGCCATCGGGTTGGACCCAACTCATAGCGACCCCTCCTTGGGTTTCCAAGGCAGTATCACTACAGAAGTAGATTGCCCCATCTTCCTTCCAAGGAGTGGCTGGTGGATTTGAACAGCCAGCCTTCTGGTTAGCAGTCAAGTGCCTTAGGCACTATGCTACCAGAGCTCCTATATTGGGGTACAAGAGTTTTTAAATACCATGGATTAAATCACATTTTGGAAGCATGACTCCAGCTAGTAAAAGCTCCCATTATGCAGGATGGTATGAATTTAGTCCTATTTCCTAGCATCAGCATTAAAAAGTTTTAATAATATTTAGGATTCTACATCCAAGTGAAAAAGTAAAGACAAACTAATGTTTATAACCCTGAGCCAGAACTCTGCTAGGCACTTTCTATATATTTTATCTTTATCTCATTTTCTTTCAACACCTATGCCTACACTACTGCTACCTCCTATTGGTATTCGGGAATTGACAACTTGGTGAATATTTATTGTTCCTAGTCTGTATTTTCCTTACTTTCTTCCTTATTCATTGTAACCCCTTTTAAAATTCTATATGCCCTCATAAAGATAATGTTCTACATCCTAGTTTGGTGAGTAGTGTCTAGGGTCTTAAAAACTTGTGAGCAGCTGTCTAAATACAACTATTGATCTCTATTCATTTGGGAAAAAAAGAATAAAGATTATCAAAGACCCAAAGAAGAAATTAGTCCACAGGACTAATAGCCCACATGAACCACAGCCTCATCTAGTCCGTAACCAAAAGAACTACGTGGTGCCTGGCTACCACTACTGACTGGTCTGACCAGGGACACAATGGAAGGTCTCAGACAGAAAGAGAGACAAATGTAGAACAAAACTGAAATTCCTAAAAAAGAAAAACTGGACTGACAAAAACTAGAATAACCTCTGAGACTATAGCCCTAAGATACCTTTTGAACTTGGAACTGAAGCTGAAGCTGCTTCTGATAGTCACCTTTCATCCAGATAATAGATTGGCTTATAAAATAAACAATAGCAACTGTGAGTAGTGGGTTCTTTTAAATAATTAACTATATGAGACCAAATGATCAACATTTACCCTAAAGCTAAAGACAAGAAGGTAAGAATGGGCAAGGAGCTGGATTAATGGAAAGAGAACAAACTGAATGAAAATAATGAGAATGTTGACACATTGAGAAAAATGTAACCAATATTATAGAACAATTTGTATAAAAATTATTTGAGGCAAATCTAATTTTCTCTGTAAACTTTTACCTAAAGCACAATAAAATATTTAATTGTTAAAAAAAAAAAAAAA